AGAGTTACTTCTGAAAAGCCGATGGTAATGATCGGAGGTTATGCAGGGAGGTAAAATGAAAGTGGTGAGGTCTTAGGGTGTACAAAGGGACCACCGGGAGGAGCTGGAGGGGAGAGGCATAAGTGTGCAAGTTCTACAGTTCACAAGGGCAAGCTAGACCGGATAATCGCAAAGGCAATCAGTAGGTGATGAAGTTCTCAGCCTAATCATGTGGCAGAGAAGCTCCATTCGGCACTGGAACAATCTGATCCTATGGTGTAAGTGTTTGGATCAATGAAGATCTCGTTATGCACAAATCACGAATTCAATAGCAAAACGTAAACCTATGCGCAGTGGATCTAAATGTTTGCGTAGAGAACTTACGGGTTAAAATTTATGGCAATCTGGCTGATCTTTTGGATGGCCGTACACAGCACACCAATGAATTGTTGACTGCAAATCGCGTCCTAGGATTGCACAAACAAGATCGGATCGAAAACCGGATAAAACGAGTGCAAAACAGATGAAGATAACTTGCAGTCCTGGGACCTTGCGGCGGCGCGTGCAGGTGCGTGGGTGGTTGGACGACTGCGACCTCGGCAGCGTTGAAAAGCTCTCGTCGAGACGGTCGTCTGGGTATGCTGCACGCCTTTATCCGACCTCCGGTTAGTTCTGTACGACCAAATATATTTCTTCTCATTTTACCCAAAGGTCTTCTACTGTATATCTCAAACACCTCTTAATCTTGTACCAGTGGAACGACAAGAAAAAGATAAAGCAAAGCTCGAATGGGAACTGAGAGAGAAAAGAGAGGCGTGGGGCGTGTTTCACAAGATGTGGAATTCTCTTCCCTTCCCATGAGCTTAATGATGTATATATAGAGCTACAGTAGGGATCCTTAAGAGATTAGGATTAGGGCTCCTTAATTTATTAAAATCCTTGTAGACCAAGCCACTTATTTTAATGATTTAAATAATATTTAATGGGTCACTAATATAATATTATTGCACTCCCTTTTCCTAGCCCAATTTACAAATGAGACTCCAATAATAATTACTCGATTTATCTTCCCATGTTTAAGATATAATGTACATTAATTAATTCGATTGCTGACAATCATGAATTAATTAATTTATTGTTATTTCACCAAAGCTAGCGCTCGTTCATCACATTATTACTATGCCGGAATTTAATCCACCTACATGGTTTAGCATAATAATCCTTCATGAACTCACTCCGCGGACATCATCAAACTAACGCACATGGTGACCGTAAATATCCTAATAGCACATCCTACATGTAGCAATATTACCCAAGACAGCGGGTCTATTGGCCCAGTTCACTAAGCCTCACCCATGTGAATCAAAGTAATAAATACTACACATATATGTCTGTTTAATATCTTACGGGTTAAGAGTACGCAGTAATTAACCGAGGCCTAGTTCATTTACGACGATCAGTATAAAACGAACTGCTCCTCTGGGATCCTGTTCAATACATAAATGTACTAGTGCAACTAATCAGTCAAGACAAACTGTACAGTTGACACTACAACCTTTCGTGATGGGGTGTTCATGTCCATCTGGATTGTGAACCATTCATTCTTGTTTCGCGAGTAACTGATAGCATGATCTTCGGTTCGCCCGATGACGACCACACTATCTAATGCAAAACAACAGAACGTAGAACTTGTTTAATCTAACATGTTTCTCATTCATAACGGGTAGAAGTGTAATATCATCCAAAGCCAAGCTTTCAGTATATAACACTAACAATCTCCCACTTATACTTAAAGCTTTCGCTTTTACAAGTATAGTCCTATCAATCAATTATTCTAAAAGACTTATGTCGATCCTATCGCCATGCACTTGACTCCCATTCATGTCACATGTTTGACAAAGACTTTCTCTGGAAAACTCTTCGTGAAAGGATCAACTAGGTTGTCCTCAGATGCAATCTTGGCAACATCAACGTCTCCTCTACCAACTATCTCTCGGATCAGATGGTACTTGCGCTCTATGTGTTTACTTGTTCTGTGGGCTCGTGGTTCCCTTGAGTTTGCTACTGCTCCACTGTTATCACAGTACACAGTGATACCATGTGGAAAACTCGGAATCACCTCTATGTCCACCAAGAAGTTTGTGAGCCAAACTGCCTCTTTCGCTGCCTTTGAGGCTGCTATGTACTCGGCTTCCATGGTGGAGTCTGCCACGCATTTCTGCTTAGCACTCCTCCATGAAATGGCTCCACCTCCATGAAATGGCTCCACGCATTTCTGCTTATGTAACTGCTTATGTACTCGTGGTTCCCTTGAGTTTGCTACTGCTCCACTGTTATCACAGTGCACGGTGATACCATGTGGAAAACTCGGAATCACCTCTAAGTCCACCAAGAAGTTTCTGAGCCAAACTGCCCCTTTCGTTGCCTCTGAGGCTGCTATGTACTCGGCTTCCATGGTGGAGTCTGCCACGCATTTCTGCTTAGCACTCCTTTATGAAATGGCTCCACCTCCCAAGGTAAACACATAACCAGAGG